GATTGGGGCCTGGAAGGGAGAGGGATAATGAGTACCAGCTGTATGATCATATCACGGCGTCGAAGGAGGGGCCGATGGTGTGTTTTAGGGAGAGGGTGTAGTTTATGGTGCGGATTGGTGGAAGGGTATGAGGGTTCAGTCTATGGATTTTGTGAATATTACAGGTTGGATTTGAGGGAAACATACATGCTTATGTTGATTTTCGTAAAGAATGGGGTGCGACGTAATTAAATGTAATCTATGTGACCGTATTCATGCCTGAGACACTAGTAACGGTGTGTTGCCGTCCGTGCCGCTGTTGTAGTTGTCCTCCAAGAGCATGATGATGTTGACGCTCTGCTTCTTACACATGTTTCATAAACTCCATCTACCACGATACTATGATTGTATTTAGTTCAATGGTACACTAGAATGTTATTCTCCCCCTAGACCTGAGGTGATAAGCTCTTTTCTAGTAGTGTGACAGTGTAAGCTACCTCAGCTAAATACCTGCCAGTGTACCAGACACATATAAGTCTATATACTATTAAACGGTGCAACTGGACATTGATAGTGGCTTGTAAACGTTCTTGAAGTACATAGCTTGAGTAACATCAAGTAACCATAAGATGGATATCATGTTTGCAACAAGTGTATGACACGAATAGGTCCAAAATGTATAATTGATTAACATGTCTTATTACGTAATTTGAAGACAGCCCAACAAGATAAGACCAATTTAATGAGCACCATTTGAAATACCATTCGCCTTCTTCTCACCCGCATACTTCTCATACACCGTCTCCGGTGCCTTCACAGCCTCTACCCACTCAGCAAACTCCTCACTAGTCTCTCCCCGCTGAATCTTCCTCAACCTCGTCAACAACTCCAAGCACAACGGCCCGCTCCCAAACTCGAGCTTCTCCCCAGTCGACCTCCGCGTAATCGACCGAATAGGAACCACGGCAGCTGCAGTTCCAGCCGCCATGACCTCAGTGAACTGGCCAAGTGTATCCCAGGGCACCTAAGCAGCAGTCAGCACATACATCCCGCAAGGGTGAGAACAAGAACACATACGCTCCTCTTCTCCACCACCCAGCCCAAACTCCTCGCAATCCCCTGCACTGAATCACTCGTCACACTATCAATAACACACTTACTGTCCGGCACAACCAGCCTAACCACTTCTCCATCGCTAACAATACCCAGGAAGCTCGACGTCGAAAACTCATCCACCTCAGTCTGCGACGAACTATCCAGATGCAACGTAAGCGGGAACCCCTCCTTTCTCGCCATTTCTGTATACTTCATCACAGGCGCATAGTTCCCGCCGACCTTCCCATGGCCCGTGCCGCGGGGCGCCGCACGATCAAACTCCTCAATGACTAGCGCATCCGCTGCTCCGGTACCGTGGTATGTGCCGAAGGGCTGCACGTATACGCAAAAGAGGTACTCGCGGGGAGGGGTGAGGGCGAAATGTCCCCCTGCGCCGAAGGCGAGTGGGCGGATGTAGAGCGCTGCGTTAGTGGAGTGGGGTGGCACAAAGGCGGCGTTCTCGGATACGGCGAGGCGGACGGCGTCGAGGAAGAGTGTATCCGGGATGGCAGGAATGGAAACTAGGTCGGCGGAGTGGGCCATGCGAGAGGCATGCTTGTCAGGGCGGAAGAGGAGGATCTCTTCGTTGGCATTGCGGGTGGCTTTCAGACCTTCGTAGATTTGTTGGCCTATTGTGGTTAGTGACCATGGGAGGGGGTATAGGAGGGGATTGGGTATACCATAGTTGAGGCCCGGGGCGAGACCATGGATGCGGAGGTAGGGGTCTTTGACGAAGGTTGGGGCTTGCCAGGTTTGGGTTGTTGGGTCGAATTTGCATTCGACGTGGCCATTGACTGCCTGGGTTAGTTGTGATATGTCGTTAGGGTTACAGATAGAATGTACCAATGTCGGTCACGCCGAGCCCAAGTTTCGACCAGTCTGTGGTGGTTAGTGATGATTGTGGTGGATGAATGAGGTGGATGTACCAAGGTCAGCTGCTGGAGGTGCGAAGGCCATTGTGCAAGTTACAGTGTACTTTGTGAAGCGTGCGGAAGGCGAGTATGGTAGAATGATTATGAGGATGCTACAAAGGCAAACGAATGACGAGATAAAAAGACCTGAGACTTACACTGCCGATGCGGTACCAAATGCGTTCCAATCTACAAGACCTGCCACGTGGTTGGCCCCATGCTGAGTGAACCATATACGCCCTTCCGCTCTCGTAAATGCAGCATCTTCGTGCGTTGAACAGATAAGCAATCTGATACATCATAAGCATCAGCCAAGTGTTTCATCCTGAAGCTGAAGCTCTCGTGTTCGGAGATTGTTGGCATACTGGCAAAGTTGTAGTTTCGGCAGGATCGAGCTCTGCTGCAGGTGCAGCTAACCTGACCTGGCTAGAAACGCGATCTGCATATCGAGCGCAGTTACGAACGATATCGGAGAATATCGTTCGTGTCTCGCCCGCTGACGTGAGACTAGCTCCAGTAGCATCCCCGTATAGCAACGTGCTTAGCTGTGTTTCTTATTCTCTCTCTTGGTTGGAATTGAGTTCCGCAGGAAGCCGATCAGGCCACGAGGTCCCAAATTGGTATTATTACTAGTGCATTGTTATCATGTTCTAAGACCAAATTACTTACGATACATACAGACATACAGTACACATTGTATTACAGTCACTGAAATCGGACTCCACCCTAATTCTACGTTTCGCACTCTCAACTCATGTCAAGCATCCACACCCCCCTGGTAGATGCATCGAGATCCTTCAGATTTACGCTGATAATCGACAGGAAGCTAGCAGGAAGTCATAGAAACTCAATTATGCATCAACTATAGTAAATCCCATTCAGTCTACCAATAACGCTGCTCTATTGCTTCCAAGATCCCCCGAGAAAAGAATTACCACACTCAGAGCCTAGCCCCCAGCTCATCAAACCGCACCTTCTCCCCACTTCCCAGAGAGTCCTGCAATGCCTTCGCAATTCTGACAGCCTCCACTGCACCCTGGATCCCCATAGGCAGCTCAGTATCATCCAAACAAGCCGCCGCAAACTCATTGACCTCGTCTACGAACGCCATCTCGAAGCGCTCATAGTAATGCGCCGGCAACTCGCGTCTAGCCCCAGTGCGATCGAAGATCCCCACCAGGTTCTTCTGCGCATGGCCATTGACCACTAACTTTCCCTCCGTTCCAATAATCTCCGTCGTATCTTCCTGCCCCGCCGCCATCATCCGCGAACAATACAGATACGCCACCCGGCCCCCATGGAACTCGATAATCCCCACCGCGTTATCCGCATCCCCGTAAGCCTTGAGCTCAGGATGCAGGGCCACGGTCCCACTAGCTACCACGCTCTTCACTTTGCTGTCAGCCCCAAAGAACCACAGGATCAGGTCGATGTCGTGGACGGAGCAGTCGCAGAAGATCCCGCCTGAGGTGGCGGCGAAATTCACGAAGGCACCGGTGGGGTCAATCTTGTCGCATGTTTGGCTGCGAATGATGGCGGGCGTGCCGATGAGGCCCGCTCTCATCTTGGAGTAGGCGTCCCTGTATGAGACGTCGAAGCGACGGGAAAATCCGCACATGACTTTTAGCTCGGGATGGAGGGTTGCCGCGTCGGCGACGGATTGGCACTAAGTTCTGACTGTTAGTAACAAACGTTGACATGATGAAATCCGAAATAAACATACAATAGCGGCGTCTGTTGAGAGGGGCTTCTCGCAGAGCACATGCTTTCCCGCTTCGATGGCTTTGATAGCTTGTTCGGCGTGCACGGTGGTAATGGTGGAGACGAGCACAGCTTCAAGGCCGCTGTGGCCTAGCATAGCATCGTAGTCTGAGTAGATGGTTACTCCGTAGGGAACCAGGTTGGCGTCAGCCCACTCGGCCTCAAGAGGGTCTGGGGTGAAAGCAGCCACCAGGGAGGACCGGGGGGACCGGTGCAGGATGTTCAGGGCGTGACGTTTGCCCATGCGACCTAGACCGGCGCAGGCGATATGAAGGGTACGAGGAGCCATTGCTGTAGTGAGAATATTTTCAATTGAAGATTGGATGTTGAGGTAAGGGGTTGTGGACAGAAAGGAACTCAGATACTTATATTGACTGGCCAAGCCTTTAGCCTAGCTAGGATTGAGATGGAGCTCGATGAGGCATGCAATGACGGAACCGACCCGCCTCGCTGATAGGAATAAAATCGATGGATATACGCAACCAGTTGGGATATCGTGAGCACTGTTTGGTGTTTGAGGCATGCATGGGTCAGCTCGGGATGTGTTGTACGTCGTGTTTGAATTCATGCCTCGGTTGTGATCCCTGCAGTAGACAAAAGAATAACAGATTAGGCCCACATAGTCGGGCAGCTCAGCCAAAGTGCAGCCCACGAATTCTTCGATAAAGAGGAGATGCCCCCGTCACAAGGGAGCTCCATCGTGGTTTCAAGATTGGAAAATCATTGATCGAGCTTACTCTTTACTGACAGAGACCTCATGAACGGTCCGTGCTGCCATATCAATGCTCTGTCAATTGGTACCCCCTCCTTCACCGTTGATTGAATAAGAGGACAGCGTTGATATTCGGGTAATCTTCAATTCCAGCAATCCACAAATTATCTTGCAGAATCAGAAGATGAGCCTGAAGCGCTGGAACATCAAGAAAGTAGCAAGGTACATAGTAGACGTGTACAATCTAGTTAGCGTTTGCTTCCTTACATTTGTGGTGGAGGACGCACTGCAGAACGCTGTGAATGATTTATTCCGCTTGCTGAGCTGGTATTCCTTGACACTAAATTCTCATGTATGTAGACCAACGTACCCACAGAACCAGGCGTTTACACCCACTGGACTGGCGTCGATGAGTTATCCCAGCGGATCGAAAAAGCGCGACCAAATTGATAGCCAATGACAGGAAAGAGTCTTAAGGATAGTAAAGGTGTTTCTAGTCTGCATGTCGCTTGGGTCCACACGCATAAATCGAACGCAAACAATCACGGACTATCTCTGGGTACAGGTTTCAAGTAAACTTTCAGCGGCCGTTTCTGCCACATCAGAAAGTTCTTCTGCTGGATCCAGTCATGGCAGTCCTCCGAGATAACCATGTCAAAGTTAAACATGATCAAGGCAAGAATGAGACGCATCTCGCTGTATGCAAGGCTAGAGAAAAAACTTAGTTACACCACGGGAATGGAGCAAGAGGTTGAATTGAAACTTACTTTCTCCCTAGGCAATTTCTTGGACCCACATGGAATGGCTGAAAAACGTCACAACGATCATTCGCGAACTGTGGGCTGCCCATGAAACGCTCGGGATGATATGAGTTGGGTTCGGTGAAGTGCTTTTCACGATGATAGAGTGCCCACTGGTGCATTGACACATAAGTCTGTGTAACATGTCAGAAACGTTCTGGAAAATAGGAGATCATAGATAGACCCACGTTTGCTGGTATATAGTGCTCAAGCACCGTGCACCCTCCTCGCGGGCACATGCGCGGGAGACCGTTTGCTATGGGTGGGTACATACGCAGACCTTCATCGAGACACGCGAGCATATAGGATAATTTGTTGACACTGATCAGGTTGATCTCATCTTGGCTGCGAAAAGTGGACCGAACTTCGTCCCTCAGCTTTTGATGAGCTCCAGGATTCTCAAGAAGGAAATAGGTGACTCCACTCAACAAAGATGCTGTGGTCTCCGACCCTCCAATAATCAGAATCTCGGCGTTAGCGATCAGGTGATCCATGCTCAGGCCCTATATGTATGGGTGAGAAATGAATCTTTGGCAAGCGTGATCCTTTGTAGCTTACCAAATCTTCTTTTTTCTAAAGCAAACTGTTGATCAGATCGGGTCGATTTTCGGTAATAGCCAATCGGCGGAGCATCTTAGTCGTGGTAAGGGCTTTATGCTTCTTCTGGGCGTCCTGGAGCGATTTCGGAACCAACAGCAATAGAATTGTTCTGAACATGGGGTAGAACGATATTGACTGGAGTATAATTCCCAACCGTCCCGATTCAAATATACTTCTGATCCAAGAATCATATTTTGCATTTTCCAAACAACCAAACGCTTCACCAAATGCAAGATCACCAATGATATCAAATGTGGTGAAATTGTACCAGTCTGAAAGGGCCACGGGTTGTCCACTTTTGCTATGCACATGCAACTTCTCCAAAAGCAAATCAGTGTATTTGCGAATCAAGGGCTCCTGATCTCGCATTGACTTCTCCGAGAAACCATGAGCCATGGCGCGACGCAGACATTTATGCTGATCTCGCTCTTCGTTGACAATGTGTCGTGCTTCGGGAAACGGTCGGTAAAACCAATCGGCTTTGCCCAGCTCTTCCTCGCTGTTCTTGTGGCCCATTTTTTCCTTCCAGGCGTCCGGATGCGAGAACGCAAGTTCATCAGGTGCAATGCGGACAATGTCCCCATAACGATCATGGAGGTCCAACATGTGGAATGGGAGCGTCCCTAGGAGTGCATAGTAGCAATAGGGAAGGCGAGAAAGGGCATGGGAGACCGGGCCCGGGAACCGACTGAGTGGGTGAAAGAAGACATTATAGACAATTTTGGTGACATAATAGATGATGACCTTCGCAGGATAGTTAGATTTAGTGTTGTATCTATAGCAAGGAAGAGATAATACCGTGGAAAGAAGTACTGCCAACCCCGTGCTACCGTCAATTAGAATTAGATTGTTCGTTGTGAGCATGTTCAGCAGTGTGACGACCATCCGCCGGTGGATGATAAAATATTCCAGGTAAGGTTGTTTCGGCCATATTTATATAAAGTAGGAGGTGCTTTTAATGGATGTATTTGGAGACATGCGCAGGCTGCCACAATTCAAAGTCCAGAATTATCTGAGAATAGAAACGCGGGTGGAGGCAAGCAAATAAACCTTCAATTAAAGTTCCTACAGGAAAAATGGAAAGCGAGTTCGAATGCGAACCCGAACCCGAACCCGAAGCCAACCCGAAATGTGGAACCCTGAAACACATAATACAATACCCTCAGGGAGTACACGTGCTAGCTCTCCCAACAATTGGGCACGGTGACAGCCCTCGAAACCACGCTCGCCTAGGTAGATCTTGAAAAGCAGCTGTTCCTCGGTCTCCCGCGGGTCGGTACTGGTCTCGTTGAATCAGTCCACCCACTGGAACCAGTCTGAAGCATTAGGGGTAGCGACGCGTCTGAATGCAGTATGGATACGCGGGTCGACCACTTTCATTGCCCATTCGGCGTTGGGAGTGAAGCCGATGCCCGCTCCGATTTCGTGAAAGTCGCGGGCTCGCTCGTAGACGCGGACGGGGATGCCGCGAGACAGGAGTCCCAAGGCCAGGGTGATACCCGTGATTCCGGCCCGATGATGGCAATTTCAAATTTGTCTGTATCCATCTTGCTGGCGTATGAATTAATTGGGGTAAGTTGTTGGGAAGCGACATATCTATCCCTCCAATATTTGCGGTGGGGTGCTAGATGGCTGTTTATCGATAGGGTATAAGATTTTAGTGCTTACTGCCAAGATGACGACTGCGTTAATTGAGGGGATCACTGAATTTACATAAAGATTTTGTATTGGTTTCATTATTGACAGGAGTTATGGGCATGACCCTAGGAGGTGGTATTGATAGTCTGCAAGGGCTGCATGGGTTGCATAGGTTGCTCCTAGATTCGCTCGAGACTGTTCGACTAGTCACCGCGATGGGAGGCCTTATCGAAGTCTCTGACACAAAATATCCCGAGCTTTGCGTGGGCCTGCCCTTTGCCGGGTCCAACCTTGGAGTTGTTACCACGGCTACCTGTTGCACACATCGTGCAACCAATGGGGGTCTTGTCACCAATGTAAACTTCATCTTTGTTGCTACCGAGCACGCTGCTATTCTGCAGGCACTGAGCTCTGTCGATGAGACGCTTCCGTCTGAACTGAAACTAACTCCGGCGGTGGCCTATAACCGGACCATTGGCCAAGTGAGCATTGGTCAAGATGATTCCTCCTCGACCACGGTACTAATTATGGGAAAGCCACTTGTGCCGGCGAATACTATTTGCTACGGCCCTCAAAAACAAGCGTTGGGGCTATTGAGCCCCTTCAACAGTCTCCTCCCGGTTATGTCCCGCAGTGTAACCGTGCCCTGAAAGGCCCTGCTCGACACTACCTTCTTTGGCTTAGCCGCCCAGGAAGTAGGGGCCTGCTCTAAATACCAAGCTGTTAATGTCTACAGTATTGGCTCTCCCGCACCGACACATTTGCCTGGGAATTGTACTTGAAGCAGTTATTGCAATTCTATCGCTATAATCTCACCTACGATGGACGCTTTCTTGTCCAACGCTAACCCACTTAAGCGGCCCTAGCCACGCCGTAATCGGATATGGCTCATCTTCACCAACAGATAGAGATGCATACGTAAGGGGCTCCCAGCCACAAAGATTTTGTACAGAAATTGACGCTCAAGCCGCAGCAATCTCGAGTGATGGCACACAGGAGCCTGTCTTGAAGACCCAGTCGACGCCTTCTTTCAAGAATCTCGCCGCCATTTCCAGCATTCCAGCGGCTTCGACAAACTGGCCGTTTATGTGAATTATGCTCATAGCGATGAGGGGCCAGTTGTATGGCATACGCCGGAAAAGCTGGGCGATCTGACTCGGCTGAAGCAAGCCTGGGATCCTAAAGAGCGATTCAGCTGGATTAATCCTGTTCCTTCATAGGATGAGTCTTTAGAGCTGCAGTGTCACTGAATGTACATACCAGGAGCTGATTCTCGGCGAATGGAATGGTGGGCTTTTGCAAAGCTTTCCTACTCGGATCGTACTACTCCGCACAGTCGCGGCAGTCTTCACCCGGAGTTGACGATCGGACTTTGGACCTGAGAGCGATCGGCATTCATTGCTAGCCTCTCAATTCCCAGACCTCGGACTAATTCACATGACCATAAGCTAGGGCATATAGGTCCAGCCTACCCCTCTCGTATTACATGACTTTATTCCCACTTAATTTTTCCCCGCCTCTCACTTATTCACCATGTATTTTCAAGGCGAGGGCAGCATTGACATTCCCGTGCAAGACATCATTTCCTGGATTTTCGACGAAGAACGATATGACATCGACAAGCCAGTAAGCCTTTCATCTCCCTCCAATGGCAAGATGCCGCTCATGCAACACTGCAGGTCTACATCGATGCCTCCGATACGAGCCGTTCCATTTCCTGGCGACAAGCCCGCATTCTGGTGCGTCAGTTGGCCGCTGGATTCAAAGCAGCGGGACTGAAGGACGGCGATTGTGTGTGCCTTCACTCATTCAATGATGTATGCACTCCAGCACAGAATATTTCGTCCCCTCCGACGTAATTCCACTCACATAATGATCAGATCTATTACAGCATCCTTGTGCTCGGAATAATCGCAGCCGGGGGAATATACATGGGCACCAATCCGAGCTATACATCCCACGAACTCGGCTATCACCTCCGAGCAGCACAGGTTAAATTCGTCATCAGTGAACCAGAGATGCTAGATCGCATGATCCCCGCCGCTGAAGGCAACGGTATTCCGCAAGACCGCATCTGGGCCTTCACAACGCGGGAGTCGCAGGTTCCAGCGACGACGGGACTTGCTCCTTGGACTGCGTTGCTGAAACACGGCGAATCCGACTGGTGCCGTCTTAATGATCCCAGTCAAGCGAAAACCACCGTAGTAGCGAGACTGTTCAGCTCCGGTACGACTGGTCTCCCTAAACCCGTGGATTTTACCCAATACAATCTGATCGCACAACATACGCTGGTGTACGATGCACATCCCGTCCCATTTGAGGTCAGAACACCTCCATCCCATCCCCAAGTCGCATATAATCCCCACCTAACAACTACTAGGCACGCCGAATCCTCTATCTGCCCTTCTTCCACGCCGCCGCAGCCCCATCCGCACACTTCAGCACCCTCCGTCTTGGCGATCCATCCTACGTCCTTCGCCGCTTCGAGCCAGACCTCTTCTTAACCACTGTTGACAAACAAAAGATTACCGAATGCACGGCCGTCCCGCCAATTATTCATGCGATACTCGCCCAGTCCACGACCTCGAAAAACTCCAAGTCATTACAATCACTAAAAGTCATCCGCTGCGGCGCCGCCCCACTAGACAAAACAACTCAAGCACGTCTTCAGGCCCTCCTCTCCCTAGACGCAACCTTCACCCAAGTCTGGGGCATGACGGAAGCCTCCTGCATCGCGACCATGATACCCTACCCTGAACCAGACAACACAGGGAGTGTGGGCCGGCTACTCCCCGGTATAGAAGCGAAGATAATCGACTCGGACGGGAATGATATCACTGCCCCTGACACAACAGGTGAGGTCTGTCTACGGGGCCCTACCATCGTACGCGGATACTTCAACCTCCCTTCCGCCAATGAGAACGCGTTCGATAAAGATGGGTTCTATAGAACAGGCGACTTAGGGTACTGCGACGGCAAGACAAGAAAGTGGTATCTGCTGGATCGGAAGAAGGATATTATCAAGGTTCGCGGGTTCCAGGTTGCGCCGGCGGAGGTGGAGGGCGTACTGCGGAATCATCCGCGCATTCGGGATGTCGCGGTGGTGGGAGTCTATGATGCCGAAGCAAAGACAGAGTATCCGAAGGCGTATGTGGTAAGAGAGGATCGGTCGCTAAATGAGGATGAGGTGAAGGAGTACGTGGCGCAGCGGTTGGCAAAGTATAAGAGGTTGGATGGTGGGGTGCGGTTTGTGGATGCGATTCCGCGTAATGCCAGTGGGAAATTTTTGAAGCGGTTGTTAGAGGATAAGAGAGAGATGAAGTTGTAGATCGGTGACGGGAAGGCAAAAGAGATAAAGGTTCCTATTGATATCTACAGCAGGTAGGTTGCCAACTATGCGGCTTCTGCTCCTGACTGCGTCTTCATAATTCCATAGGAGCGCAATCATCCCAAAGTACTGAGAAGGCTATAATCACTATGATAAAGAACACGGTATTGATTCTTAATTCGACCAGATCCTTCCCACAGTCTTGCTTGGACCAAGCGTGTAGTATCCATTTACCTGGCCCTGCGAGGCTTATCTGACAGTGTACTTCTGAAATATCTACAACTGAGCCCGCTCCATCATCGAGGTTACTGCATCTCCCACACAAGTGTTCAAATCGCGGAAAGTCATTCCTAGCATCCTGCGCGATTTGGAGTTATCAAATCCAAAAATAGGCTGGGGCAGGTCATCGGGCATATCGCTCGGAGGCAGCTGGTGAGCCAATTCCGGGTGCGTGGCACGAATAGCCTCCGCAACTTGCTTGTTCGAGAAGTGGCCAGCCACGGTAAAGAAGCGATGTCCACTGACCTCGGGCAACTCCAGCGCTTTACGATGAGCGAACGCAACATCACGGACATCCACGAAAGTGAAAGGAATGGCGATAGGCGCGCCCCCATCTTTCCATTTTCCGAGCATCAGGTCACGGATAATGTGGTTTGAGGTGTTCAGGGCTTTGAGATCGGTGACGTGTCGTGGCTTTGGTCCGAACACCAGCGGGGGGTTAATAGTGACAAGGTCGAAGTTCGACTTCTCTTTCTCGACGAATTCAAAGGCGGCGCGCTCAGCAAATATCTTCCGCTCTGTGTCAGTAGGGGATAGTGTCGTGCGGTGATAAATGGGCCCATACCTTGCTCGCGCGATATGTAACCTCCGGTACCATGGCCTCCTCCCAGGTCACCGATCCATAGCTGGTCTCATCGTACACCTCTGGGTGGTTGGGAGGAGTTACAATTGTAGCCGAAGAGGAAGTCACAACCACTCGCTTGACGGTCTGTGCGTAAGCCTTGATGGAGGCCAGCAGTCCGGCGGTGCCTTTGATTGCAGGGTCAAGGAAGTCCGTTATAGGATCGGTGTAGTTGAAATGATAGGGCGAGGCCGTGTGAACGACCAAGTCTAGGTCAGAAATGGATTGGATAGCCTGGTCTTCCATGTTAGCCGGCACTTGGAGTATCTGCTTAGCCGTGTAGAAGAGTGAGGGTCACCTCATCATAGGCCCCATCTTTGGCAATATCCTCCACCACCACGTACGAAGCAGCCTGATCGCCGGTATTCGACAACGATTCGAGAAGCTGGCGGCCCTTGTCGTGTGTGCGAACAGTCACTACCACTTGATACCTAGGATACGTCAGCGTTGTGAGCAGAAGGATTTCCGTTCGGTGAAAATGCTTGCTTACCCAGCGTCCAACAGCTCAGTCAGAATGTGCGAGGCGATGAAGCCTGTTCCACCTACATATGCAGGAAATGTTGGTTCATCTGCTAAAAAAGCATGGCAATAATGGATTCCACTGACCTGTAAGTAGTACCTTTTTCGCGAGAGAACCCATCGTGAGCAGCCAGTGAACAAGTACAGAGCTTATGGTTGTGTGTGTTTCCTGCTACAAGGCGATACTGCCTAAAAAAGGGTTGATATATATCACTGCTCATGGTGGTGTGGGGAGGTTCCATTCTTAACTCGGACAAAATATTCTGGGGTGAGCAGTCGTGAAGGATGAACTGTCAAAGATCGCTGCATATGCTCGGATACCCAAGGACATGGCAAGTCCGTATGAGAAACTCCGTGTGTGCCCGATCTATTGCCCACTTATCCATTATCCTATTGGATGTCCGCGGGAAAGCAATAATTAGGAGGGCTATAGTAGAAGATCATATAGACCCATAGAAATTTATCCATACCTACAGTAATCGCCTCCAGCCCAGGCCCTTCGATCCAGAAGCCGAGTTCGTCAGTAAGAACCATGGCAATGAAGGATTCCAGATCGAGTATGAAGACCTCAGTCGGTACGAGGATACCCTCGGTCAAGTGCCAATGCTGCAGGTCTACAGCCACTTATGCTTCCTTTTTCCATGCCCGAGAGGGTGTCACAAGACACTATCATCGCCGATCCCGAGGCTGCAGTGCGCCAGATCCGATCCCATGTGCCCTGGATGGCCGGCAGAGTTGTTAATGTTGGTAAAGGCCCGGGAAATCCAGGGCGATATGTTGTTGCTCCACGCCCACCCCCAGATCCTCTGATTGTGGTGCGCGACGTTTCGCACGCCTTCCCTCCTTATTCGGAAATTCAACGTGTAAAGGCACCCAATTCCATATTAAACTCGCGTCTACTAGCCCCAACAAATGCCTTTCCCCAGCGCTTCAAGGATCTTGAAGAGGACACGTTTCGGGTAATCCGCCTTCAGGCCAGCTTCGTCGCAGGGGGAGTCTGACTAGACTTTGTCACCCAGCATAACATGACCGATGCAGGCGGTCTTTTCGGCTTTGCTCGTCTGGTCTCTATGGCTATGCGGGGAGAACAGTTTTCCGACTCCCTCCTAGAGCAGGTCAATCGCTATCGGCACAACCTTATCTCGCTTTCGAGCCGGGGTGAACCCATATTAGATCACTCCCACCATACCCGTCCCCCAATCACCAATGCGCAGCCCGTCGTGCGCTCTGATCAGCCCAGTGGCATTTTCTTGTGCTTTACCGCTGCTAATGTGGCTGAGCTGAAGGACCTTGCTAGTCAATCTATGATCCCATACCCAGAGGGTGTCCTATACTACAACCGATGATGCCGTCAGTACTCTCTGTTGGAAGACGTACATCACAGTATGGCATCGGTGGCGGAACATGCCAGACGCGCGCTCTCGGTCCTCGCGAGCCGTGAACGACCGAAAAGTACTAGGGATACCAGCCAAGTATATGGGAAATCTGGTTCACGTCACGACTTGGCTCACATTCTAGGAGCTGGTTGATGGTCCGTTTCGCGAGATCGCGCGCCAGCATCCATTTCTCAGTCTGTTTTACTACTTTCCACAGAACCCTCATGGAGACTGTGACTCGTTAACCTGTCTAAGTAATGCTAATATGGAGGCTTTGAATCGGGACCCAGAGTGGACTTCCATGGTGGAGTACATTGGGTAGGGTAAGAGGCACTTCATTGGACTCCGAATCAGGGCTGCTTAAAATTCCGCGTGGCAGAGTAGTGGGTAGCCAAACAAGAACTGTCAACACGATTATCATCTCGTATCTCATAGATAAGCAAGATCTCACTAGGTATCGTTTAAGTAAGTCTGGCGTGTAGAATATTTCTCTGTCCCCACCTAGCATGTGGCACCCATGTGGCATTTGTATCTAGACCTTGGCCTGCAGTTGTAGCCGCAACCTCGGTTCCTTATATTCATAAGTCCCCTCGTCACCAAACCCATAGCATTCCATATGTTTTATCCCCGATAATTTACTCCAGTATGCACTATGCCCACAAAACTCACAAATGACACTATTCCCTTTTCCTCCACGGGGGCGGCACTAACGCCCGCATCTTCCACCCCCAATGCAGGGTCCTAAGCACACTAGTAAACCCTCACTTCCGGCTCTGCTTCGCGGAAGCTCCCGTCCCCTCCCAGCTAGGGCCGGTCGTAGTGTCCGTCTATAGACACTTCGGTGACTTCAAGGGCTGGATCCCGATGCCGCTGAATGCCTCGGTCTCATCCACCATCTTCGCAGAAAAGATCCTCAACTCCCTCCGTCACATAATTGAGCATTACGATCGATCAGGCGCAGATGGGGAGTGGGTTGCCGTGCTTGGATTTAGTCAGGCCGCCAGACTAGCTGCTAGTCTGCTCTTCCAGGAACAGCTCAGAGGGACTGGGCTGGTCAGAGGGTATGGTGAAATCATCTTTCGCTTCGCTGTCTTGTTTGCCAGGAGGGACCCGATAATTTCTGTTGATGCAGATGCTATGATGTCGGTGTCTTCGGCGGACTTATCTGTGCCTACGATACATATCCATGGGCTGCAGGATCCCGGGTTAGAATACCATCGTGGGCTTCTGGAGAGGTAATGCGATCGTCAGAAGGCTTCTTTGATCGAGTGGGAGGGGAATCATCGGGTGCCCATCAAATTGAAAGATGTTCGTATGGTGATGGAGGAGATTTTGAGGGTTGCGCAGAAGACAGGTTCCGTAGCACCTTCGCCGATGCAAGGGGGGATGGCCTCTTGATGGCGGCGCCATCCCTTTGGATCGTTAAGGGATGGATTTTGATATAGGACTAGATTGAGCCGCCCTTGTGGTAGACAATCTGCTGATATACTCTGAAAATTGCTCATAGGCGACAAATCATATGGCTTCACCTTACAATGCTTGTTTGTGGTAGCTCTAGATCAATCCTGCATGTGTGGGGTTCAACTGTACACTGTTCATTCCATCTTCTTTCGCAATTTATGCGCAATGGCCAATAATGTTGTCACGGTGATTTAGGATGAGATAGGCTACACTTCACCATCCGATTCTACTGGGAGAACTCTGTTTCTGTATACTCACGACGTGGCTCCACAATGTCTTGCCGGTCATCCTCAATGTTAAAAGATGGACAATTGTTCAATGGTCGCATACTAATGAAGCATACTTGGTAGTCTTCTTCCGTGCCATTTAACCTCTCTGCATAAGAAAAATAACAGTAAGAAAGTGAGAATAATTAAAGGCAAGAACGTTTGGTCCACACTTCTTGCACATTTTGAGTAGCTGTTGTTGGTTGTGGGTTGGTTGATGTGCCATTAAAAATCATTTGCAGGTCGGGCGGCGGC